CACCCATGGTGTCCCCAAGGCCACTGTGGTGTCTCCAAGTTCCCCCCATCACCCAGATGTCCCCAAGACAACCATGGCATATCCAAGGCCATCCCAGTGTCCCCAAGTTCCCTCCATCACCCAAGTGTCCCCAAGGCACCCATGGCGTCCCCAAGGCCACTGTGGTGTCTCCAAGTTCCCCCCATCACCCAGATGTCCCCAAGACAACCATGGTGTCCCCAAGGCCATCCCAGTGTCCCCAATTTCTCTCCATCACCCAAGTGTCCCCAAGACCATCCCAACGGGTCCCACCAGCACCCCAGTGACCCCAAGGTCCCCCTCACCGGTTGACTTTCATGCGGACAGGTTTGGGGCGCGGCGGGGGGTCGGGGGCGGCGGCGACGTCCTCGACCAGGCGACGCGTCACCCGCCAGCGGGGCAGGAAGGTGTCGGCGGCGTAGCGGGACACCCGGCCCTCCAGGGCCACCAGGTCGAACAGCCCCATGTCCACGTGCTGGGGGGACAACCGCAGGGATGTCACCGGCTGTCCCCTAATCCCACCACGGTCCTGGGCACGGTGGCACCTCGGGCCATCACCTCTGTGCCCTACACCCCCAACAGATGCCACCGCAGGGTCACCCTAGCGCCTCTACCTCCCCAGAAGTGCCACCACAGGTCACGGTGGTGGCCCCCAAGTGCTGGTGAGAATGACGCGGTGGCCTGTGACACTCCTACCTCCATAATCCCGGTCAAGATGACCTTGAATCCTTCACCTGATGCATCCCGCGTCCTCCACCTCCCCACAAATGCCACCAGAAGACCACCCTAGCGCCTCTACCTCCCCAGAAGTGCCACCACAGGTCACGGTGGTGGCCCCAAGTGCTGGTGAGAATGACGCGGTGGCCTGTGACGCTCCTACCTCCATAATCCCGGTCAAGATGACCTTGAACCTTTCACCTGATGCATCCACCTCCCCACAAATGCCACCAGAAGGCCACCCGAGCGCCTCTATCTCCTCACAAATGCCACCAGAAGGCCACCCTAGCGTCCCTGAGTGCCGGTGACCCCACCAGGTCACCCAAAGCCACCTCGAACCATCTCCTGGTGCCCCTCAAACCCTTCCATGGCCCAACCCCGCACGCTCCACTGGTGTCCCCGACGTCGTCACCTTGAAGGGGTCGGGGTCGAGGGCGCGGAGGACGAGGGAGGCGGTGACGAAGCAAATGCCTTCGGTGATGAAGGGCGAGTGGACGGGCCGGGGCTCGAAGAGATCGGGATGGTTGCAAACCTTGCGGAGCTGCATCAGCACGTTGATGACGCTCATGAAATGTCCGCTGGCCAGGGTGGCCTTGGTGCTGTCGGAAAAGGGAACGCGCAGAAGGTCAAGGGGGGGGTTTGGTCGCGGGTGACGGCGTAGGGGACGCGTCGGGGACGCGTCACCCACCTGGCCTGGCCCATGAAGTCATCGTAGAGGTAGCGCTGGCGCTTGGAGAGGCGGCACTTGAGGACGTGCTCGTACTTCTTGGGCATCTGCTTCTCCACGTCCACCTTCAACCGGCGGAGCAGGAAGGGGCGGAGCACCTAGGAGAGCGACCAATCAGCTGCTGGCAAGTTTCGGGGTTCCACCCCACGATATAGGGGTGACCCCCCCCCCAGAAATAAAGCTGGGGTGGGGGGAGGAACCGTGGGGTGGAGGGAATGGGGCAGGGGTGAGCTGCGGGGGGACTTGGGGTGCGGTCTGAAACGGGGGGACCCACAGGGGCGCCCCAAAATGGGGTTACACCCCACCCAGCTGCACCCTGAAATGGGGGTACCCCAAAATAGGGGTCACCCTGAGTCAGCTGAGCCCCGAAATGGGGGTACCCCAAAAATAGGGGTCACCCTGAGTCAGCTGAGCCCCGAAATGGGGGTACCCCAAAATAGGGGTCACCTTGAGTCAGCTGAGCCCCGAAATGGGGGTACCCC